ATACGTGTTAGTTCTTAGTTATATATATATATATATATATATATATATATATATATATATATATGCGAAAAACTATACTCACCATAGATTTCCAACAAAATGCATATCAATTACCGACTAGGACTATCTCTAAATCGTTTACATAAGTGCCAACGTTTCTCCTTCTCTTAGAAAATCAAGGTAGTGCATTTGGAAGGACAATTAAGAGCTAAAGAAAAGCAAGCAATTCTGATATGTACCTTTTCAACACCTGCATCGCCGTCATGTGATATTTCATCCACAAGCTTAAACGTATCGCCTTCGCAAATGACCCTGCATATGATTTAGGTTGTACAAGCGCACCATCATTGAGTGTGATCCAATTTTGATGTCAGTAACAAAAAAAGAGCAGTTTACCTTGCGGTAGGAACCAGTGTTTGCGCATCAATATTGAACAAAGTTGATAACACGACGCCTCGTAGAGTTCTATAAAGTGGAAAAAACTATGAAAAGCGCTTTTAAAGACAACGCGAATGCATTTTGCAGAATCCAAGATTACCTCGCCTTCGACATTGCGCATCTGACCGAAGCTAACTGATTCTCCAATTGAATAGCAAGGTTGGTAAACTCGAAGAGGCACTGCATTCTCTCAAAGGATAAGGAATTCAGCTCATCCATAATAACGTCACTGAAAGAATTTTTATTAACAAAAGGAATAGTGATCCACGGACAATATCACGAATTGAACTTTTAGGAGTCAGAAAAAGTATAGATGAACATAGTCTTTTGAAGGATGAGTTTCCGCATTATATTTGAAATTAGAACATGTATTGGGATATATTGAAAGCCGTCTTGACGAATCCACTCTATTGAGGCAAAGCATGTATTTCAATTACACAACGTTGGTAGGTTTATGTTATCTTCAAAAAATTTAGCACCCGTCACTTGACCATTTTTGATGTGTAGGTCGGTCAAAAAGGTCAAGTGACGGGTGCTAATCGAAAAGGTCATAAATCCTTGACCGTCCACTACAAAACGTGTTCAAAGTGAATTATGTTATATTTTCTGAAAAGGAACAAAACTGGGTAAAAGTTCCTATTTCTGCTTGTCGCATTTCAATTACTGTTACTGTCAGATTCCAGCAAAAGATCCGAAGAATATGTAGGATTTTGAACTCTCATCAACTAATAGAAAAGACAAGAACACTAATGATGAGTCGTTTTGGCAGGATGCACCGGAGTAATGGTGATTTGAAGAAGAATTAATTAGAATTAAAAATCAAAGAATTGAGCAAAAAATGATTTTATAAGATGACTCCACCGCATGTATAACTTTAGTCTCTAAACCATATACGAAATGGTATTCGGGTAGCAAAAAGAAAAGAATTGTCCTATTGCGATAATATTTCCTCCTAAAAAATAGGAAGCATATTGTCAGTATCTGGCGCAAAGGGACATAATGAAAACGTAAAAGATCTGCTACTATTCAACTCAAATATAGTACACTTGAAATATGACTATATAGAAAATACGAAGAATCCTGTACTTGACAGAAAGTTCCCCACCACATATTGACACGAAACCAAATGAATTGCAATGGTAGTAGTAGTAATAGGAGCAAAGAGCACAGATGAGACCCGTGAGTTCCAAAGCTGTCTAAAATTAGGCGTGAAATTGGAACATCCGTCTTTGCGTCCAAAGTCGCTTTATTGCGCCGCTATGCTCGAACAGCTTTTGTGAGAATAAGTTTTTTTCACATTGCTTTTAGGTAAGAAATGGAAATAAAAAAGTAACCATTTCGTGATGTGAATACAAGCTGGTTGCATTTTC